CAGTTATTAATATCGCTCACTGCTCAGCTATGTCAACATGAGGCTGAGAGACTCGATTGATTTGCATTTAGACAAATGATATGATAGGTGTATAGCAACCATGAATCTATGCAGATTTACACTCATGAGGAAGCCAATTACCTGCAGCAAACAGTGCGTGAAAGAATGTTGTGGAATTCATGCTTACTACATCAGACAGGGAAACATAAATTATACATGTTCTGTATGTGGGATAGGGGTCAAAGGTCGTTATTGTTTATGCAAGAAACACGGTGCTGATAAGGTCAGGAACCAGATTATTTATGCCAGGAAGAGAGATTACATCAACGAGAGGAATAGGTTGGGGAGAATACGTGTTTAGATATATGAAAAATAACCATTTAGACATTTGACTCATTTTGCATATACCATTACATCACAATGGTCTTTGTCAGAGAGTTGAAGGCTTTGGCAAAACAAGGTGGTCTACATGGTTATTCTCGAATGAGAAAAGCTGAATTGATAACAAGATAGACAGAATTTTATGGATAACAACTTCTTTAATACCGGGAAAAGCGACGTTTTGGTATAGATCCTTATACCGTTGTCAAGCAAGACTGAATGAATTGATAACCTTACTCGGTTTGGAATATCCCCAGACTGTTAGAGAACTCAAAGCTCAAGCGAAAAAAGTGGGTTTAGAGGTTATTCTCGAATGAGAAAAGCTGAACTGATTGCTTTACTAGATAATAATCAACCAGTTGTTGAGTTAAGATTTGTAGCCACAGCCGGTGTTGCTAAATATCTAAGAGGTTGGAAGTTGGATATTAATTCCAACATGGATGTTAATGATGTTAAGAGCAGTGTAGAACTAAAATTACTCACTGATTATGATATGCACTTATTTGTTGAGAAAGGATTAAGAGGTGGTATATCGATGACGGCGAAAAGGTATACTAAGGCCAATAATAAATTAGTAGAAGGATATGATTCGAGTAAACCCGATACGCATATATTATATCTCGACGCCAACAATTTGTATGGATGGGCTATGAGCCAACCTTTACCAACGGGTGGGTTTGAGTTGGTCTACGTGAATAACATCCCAACAGATTCCAATAAGGCTACATACTAGAAGTTGACTTAGAATATCCAACAGAGTTACATAAAGATCATAACAGTTATCCGCTTGCTCCCGAAAGAATAATGGTTAATAAAGATTGGATGTCAGAATATCAACACTCCTTGATGGGCAATACGAGGTTAGCTGACGTAGAAAAATTTGATGGATAAGACAATATATATAGTTCACAACAGAAATCTCGAGTTATATCTATCGTTAGGCATGAAAATATAGAAAATACACATAGTTCTTAAGTTTGATCAAAGACCTTGGATAGAGCCCTATATAAGGCTGAACACAATTTTAAGAAAGATGGCTACCAGCAATTTCGTAAAGAACCTATAAAAGCTCATGAATAACTCAGTATTTGGTAAAACTATGGAGTATCTAAGGAATCGTGTTGATGTTAAATTGGTCAGACCTAATGAGATAAAAAGATGCAGGAAACTTATACCGTAGGCTTTTAATAGAAATAAGATATTTGATAACGACTTAGTTGCACTGCATATGCTGAAGAGTAATATAAAATTCAACAGACCGGTGTACGTTGGTATGATTATTCTTGACTTGTCAAAACACTTTATCTATGAGTTTTATTACAACGAACTTAAGAAGCAATACGGTGATAGATGCGAGGTGTTATATACCGATACAGATTCTTTGATGATGGGAATACAAACCGAGGATGTGTATAAAGTTATGGCAGAAAAAATAGATATGTATGATACGAGCGATTACCCAAAAGATAATCCACTGCACAGCGTGGTAAATAAAAAGGTATTAGGTAAGATGAAGGATGAATGTGCTGGGATCCCTATTGCGGAGTAAGACCTAAGATGTATTCAATAAAGAAGTCTGATAATGGAGAGATAAGAAAAGCTAAGAGTGTAAGGAAGTATGTAGAAAAAAAGCATATCAAACACGAACAGTATAAAGAAGCATTATTCAAATACGAGACGACTTTAAGAAGTGTCAATCACAGGATATATGGATTAGGAATGAACACGACATTATTATCCCCCTTAGATACAAAGAGATGGATTGATGAGGATGGTGTAACTACCTATGTTTATGGTTATAGTGGTAATTCTGAATCTCTGGGAACTATGTGCAACTCTTCTTGTACAAATCCCCTGCCAAGTCCATCTTTAAGATAGTATAGCATAGGCTCACCAATCGACTAATGTTATATATCTTCAGGGACCAAATCGGATCGGTTGCATGACGTTGGCCTCCTTCGAGTTCACTGGGCTGGTATAAATATCTTACTCTTTCTCTATCGGGAAGTTTTTGTTCTTTACCTCTCCGCGGTGCTTAAGATTCGGAAGTCACAGATTTCATTTTAAACGCTTTGGATGGTTTCTTCCCGATTAATCTTGTTATTTCATTATTCAGCGCTGATACAACAGCTCATAATCGTGTCACCCATTCCGTTGATCTTAATCGATCCCATTTCATTTCAATCCCATACTGATATCCAAACAAACGTTATGCTTTCAAAGATAGCTTGACTACAGTGGGCCTCTTTTTCATCACATCTTATTGTGACATCGTGATTTGTAAATAGTTTAGTTACTGATCCCATAAACACGCGACCAGGATCTACTTGAAATAACTTGGCCCATTTTAGTGGTCCGCGATTAGCCACATCTACTACGGTTAAAGCATATTTATGTTTTGCGTCTTACCTTATCATGAGGAAGAAAAAAGAGGTCAGCTTGATTAACTTCATTGTTGGAAAAAATTCAAAATTCGTCCTCGGTATTTAACATGGTGCCGGTAAGTATATTTGCCACATCACTTGTTTCTTTAACCAATCCTTGACACCATCTTTAGATACCTTAGCCTCAGTGGCTAATTTTTGTATTGCTCCTATACCTTTTAATTATCCTCGTGGGCTACAGTTAATTTTATCCATTATCAATTAATATTGATGTTTCTTTTCATACGAGTCATGACGATCGTTGAATCACATCATCGTTTTTGCATAAAAAAATACCCCTGTAGAATAGGTATTGGGTTTTAAATCTGGCTCCAGTGGAAGTGAGCTAGAACTGTCATTACCTATAAAAGTTTACATCATGGAAACATTTATTGGCTCCAGGTTGTGGTAGGCTAGAGCCATTTTCATTAAAATTTTGATTAGTCTTATGACGATCGTTGCATCGCATCGTGGTTTTTGCATAAAAACAATTCCCTCTGTAGTATAGGTATTGGGTATAAATCTGGCTCTAGTGGAAATTAGCCAGACCCGCCATTATCTACCACTCAAGCAAACCCCTTCAAATCACATGTTGAATATGTGATTTTCACGTACAAGTGTCCATCTACAAACAACTGATTAGTACCAATTGTGTTGCAGTACCCAAAGTGTCTGCCAAAACCACGCATCAGTATTGTCACCTTTTGATTTTACTATATAATACCTGAAGAAAAGTCAATTCAACTTTCGTACTGTATTCCCAAGCTCCATAACATAGGACAATAGGCAGAGTACATAAACAATCGCTCACGTTCAATAACAAGTCATCAGTAGCGTGTGTGACCACCAAATGCCTCAATACACGCAAAAACTCTTCGACGCACAGAAAAAGTCAGTCGTCTGTCGAGGTCACGTGGGATTTGACGCCATTCTTCTTGGAGGGCCAAGATCAGTTCTTGCCGGTTGGCTGGAGAGTGTGGTCGTTGTCGAACACGACGATCCATCAAGTCCCAGAGGTGTTCTATTGGGGACAAGTCGGGTGAGCGTGCAGGCCACGGCAGGGCGTTGACGTTGTTGGCTGGGAGGAAGCTAGGGACAATTCTGGCTGTATGGGCTTCAACGTTGTCATGCTGATAAATGACACCTCGTGGCTGCTATTGGAGAAATGGTAGGACAACTGGACGAAGAATGTTGTCCATGTAACGCTGAGCTGGCAGGTTTCCGTCAACGATGACCAGCGGTGTCCTCTCCTGCACACAGATCCCTCCCCACCACGGCACTCCCTCCACCATATGGTACGACCTCCTGCATGCAACACGCCGCCGTTCGTTCACCCCTTCGGCGGTAAACACGTTGTCTTCCATCAGCCCTTAACATACAGAATCGACTTTCGTCAGTGAAGACAACCCTCTGCCAGTCGCGTCGTTGCCAACGTCGTACAGTCCGGGCCCATCTCAATCGCAGACGACGATGTTGTGCTGTCAACAGCTGTCCTCTGTATGGTCTAAAAGCCCTGATTCCATGAGCCCTGAGTCTCCTGGCCACTGTCTGTCGACTAACCCTGTGACCTAAGGCATTTGTCACCGATGACGTCACTGTCAGGAAGCGATTTCGGAGGTGCAAGGTACGCAAGTACCGGTCATCATGGGGCGTGGTCACCCTGGGTCTGTCTGTTCTTGGCCTGTCAGCGGTCCGCCCTGTCTGTCTGTAACGTAGCATCAAGTTGGTAACGGCAACACGGGAGCAACCGAAGGTTCGTGCAATATGGGCGTAGGCGGCTCCCATCTGTACCATACCCAAGGCTCGTTCACGTTGTTCGACTGTGAGTCGTGGCATTTCTTTTGTGTTTTTTTTATCACTGTGGATGTCTGACTTCCTGTGGATGAAGTCACAATCACTTGATGAATAAATAACAACAAGACGTTCTACACTATACAAGGATCTGACTGACAAACCGGGGGTGATGTTTTTCTTTTCTGAAATGACTGTATTTTTATGTCAAGAACAGAGGCCAGAGGCATGTAACAATTTCAATCATATACAAGTAGCGTTTTATTATGTGTTCAAGTCATTTAGAAAAACCAACCCATCAAACAATACCTGCACCCGGCTCTGTACGTTCTTTGAAAAGTTGATGATGGCGTTTTGCTTCATGGACATGTGTCCATCTACTGATTAATATTTGTTGTGTTGCAGTTCCAGTGAGGATTTCCAAGAAGCGTTGTGGTCCTGGAATCTATGGACAACGTTGTGACAGGCTATGCAATGTGAACTGCCACCCTCACACCAACAACAATACATATTGTGATAAAGACACCGGGAAATGCTTACAGGGTTGTGTTTCCGGATGGAGTAGTGACCAATGCAATTTCCCTTGTAGCAAGACTTGCATTGGTAACATATGCAGTCAACAAACTGGGCGGTGCACAAAAGGTTGCAAAGGAAACTACAGAGGGGATATGTGTGACGAATATGAAGGTATAATCATTAAGCTTCGAGTTCATGCATTCAGCTTTGTTTTATTCGCACCGCAATCATCTCAAACACACAATAACATGATAAACCGGAAATAAGGCTCAGTGGCTCCACAGCTGTCCAAGGATATGACTGGGGGATATATTCCTTTGGCGGTATAACTGCGAAATTACAATGATACAAATATGTCCCTCTGTACGTACACGTAAGAGTAATTACAGTTTAACTGTAATGTTAACTGATGTTATGTACTGACGATATTGCTGCATTTAAGTATACATATGCTGCTACTTTTGTACAGTGTTTTCTCTATGAGCAAGTGCTTTCCTTTCCATTGTGCTATCTTCTTTCCACTGGTAATGTAAACCCATATGATACATGTCTAAGAACTTATTAAAACATGTACAGACATGTATATCTTCTGATGAAACAAAAATAAAAATAAATACATTTTAAAGGAACTACGTATTCAGTGGTTAAAACAATTAATGTTGGGCCAATTTCAATGCTAAAATAAGTAACATTTTCGTATTTCCTCAAATCCTAGAAACAGGCAAACCCCTTCAAATCACAACTACTCAATCTGTACGTTTTTTGAGATTTTGAATATGTGTTTCGTGTACAAGTGTCAATCTATAAACCACTGATCAATGTTACTTGTGTTGCAGTACCCAGAGTGTCTGCCAAAAACACGCATCAGCATTGTTAGCTTTTGATTAATCTTAAAGAATGTGTGCAGTCTAAGATACGAACAAAGTTCAATTCTGTCATAAAAAAAAATATTTTTCAACTTTGTAAACTTCTATCCAACACGGCAAACGTAAGGAAAGACTTTATTTCTTGAGGCATGGGGCATTTGTCACAAAAGTTGGTGATGATAGATAGAGCTTCATCTTTCTGTACAAATGTTCATGATAATTTGTCAAAAATGAGGGCAAATGTCATCATTAGTTTACAGTGATGACAATTAATTTGACTCATTTACATATTGAGCTTTTAGTGATATTTCTTAATGATGTAAATGTTGTCTACATGTTAAACAACTTCATAAGGCACAAAACGTCCTAAAAGTTTAAAACAAGTTCCCAATCTCTACAGTGAGATGAATCGAGTACCAATCCAAGTGAACAGAATGCATTCAAAACCAGTTAAACTGAACCGATGTTATGCAAAGCAATCATATAAAACGTCTAAGCTGATGGTTATCAACAATCAGGCCGTTTGTTAAGTTAATAACGATATCATTCGGCAAAATCGTGGCATTTAAAGAACGAAAAAGATATGTTCATACATGAAAATGAACTCCTATTTGCCAAATAATTTAGTTCATGCTTTCATTGGCAGCAGCTTCAAGGTAAATGGTATATGATAAAAAATAGAAGAGAGAACATGATAAGGGCAAAAATGACTCCTTCATGACACAAATATAAAAACAACGTTACTTAATTCACGACCAGAAACTTCAACATAATAATCAATGTAATTAAAGCTGCAAGCAGCAATGTCGGGCTCCAAGTAACACTGCGCACAAACGTCCATGTTCGAATCCTCAAAGGGTTTCCTTGTACGTAATTCGTTAAAAGTAGGCACCACTTGCAGGGTATCGCCGCTACGAAATTGGCGTGTGCCAGGGTGTCCAAGTCTGTTCTAAACCCATTTCTGACCTCGAACATGTTCGAATCCTCAAAGGGTTTGCTTGTATGAACTCTGTCAAAAAATAGTAACTGGAAAACGCCGCTACGAAATTGGCGTGTTCAAGGGGTGTCCCAAATATTAATCAAATATTACCACCAAGCGGTGTTACCTTTAGCATGCAACTAAGAACAAACAATGAGATGCATATGGCACAGTAACTTCATGTAAACTTGCAATAGTTTCTGTCAACATCCTTACAAGATATGATCTTTAAAGTAAAATTTCGTTGAAAATAATTATCAAAATCAAAATGCAATACGGCCGTAACTAAAAGAGATATCCAAAATCGGCTAACAGAGTTTGATGTGTTATATATGGAGACAATTCCCAGAGAGTTTAAAAGCATTTCATGCAGTGGGCTCGGAGGAGTTTGCGTACCCAAAACACACTGTGAAAACCTTGAATCCAATATGGCTGCCTTTCGGCTTGGAGCTCTTGTAAAAAATAATAAATTGGCCGATTACAAAAGGGCTTCGAGCCTTTCGGCTTGGAGCCCTAATAAATAAATCGGCCGATTACAATAGGGCCTCAAGCCTTACGGCTCGGAGCCCTAAAAATAAATCGATAGATTACAATAGGGTTCTGCAGCCTTTGGCCTTGGAGCCCTAATAATCAGGATCCTATCCTACGATCCTCTTGTCATCATCACCATCAACATCACATAACCCCGTTAACATTACGCTTCCTTCAATTTTGTTTATAGCATTTAAGTTAACACCCAATTTGTTGGGTACAGGTAAATTTACATCAGATTTACTCAACCGATCACTTGTCAAACGGACCCTTTAAGATCCGGGGAAGAATAGATCTTCAGCAACCCATGCTTTCTGTAAAAGGCGACTTGGTTTGCCTTAAGAGGCGATTAACGGGATGGGGTGGTCAGGCTTGCGGACTTGTTTGAAGCATGCCATCGATCCCAATTGCGTGGATAGATGCTCATGATGTCAATCACTGGATAGTCTGGGCCGTCGTATAGCTTGAATATTGCTGAGTGCGGCGTAAAACAACAAACCAACCAACTTGTCTAACGAAGCTGACAAGGCTACTTTTATCAGCTATTAGAGCACAGGCAAATACTTTCGTCCAATTGCTGGTCTCTATTTTGATCAGGTGGAGTACATTTGTATGCTGATAAAGTACTGTAAAGTATACAATTTATATAGGTGTGAAATTCTCGTGCTTCATTAAACTTGTACATTTCAGCATGACAGCCTTTAAACGACAAGTTCATTTATTTAGTTACACCAAACACAACATTTTTGTAATTGATTTAATAAATTCTACTGGCTAAAGTTCTATTCCATTACAATCTGGATCTCTTTGTCGCCTTGTTCAATTTGAAAACTGTCCCTTTTCCTAGACTTGGTTGGTGATGACAGAGAGACTGTTTTGATTCCTCAGCCTGAAAATCCAAAATACCATCTCGAATAATTCGCCCTTTGTTCTCGCAACAGTACATAGTATCCCGATAAAGTACTCGCACTCGTCCTAAATCACATTACATCAATTAGCACGACAGAAAGGCTTACTCACGGAAGTATTGCACATGTAATTAGCCTCACACTTTTTCATGTGATTTAACGTAAAGTATATCTTAAAGAACACTTGAATTTATATGAGCATGTTACACCATTTGACGAAAGAATAGTGTTATGACTGGGTGAATATTTTTTGTCATACAATTGCTACCTGAGTGTTATTTAGTGTCACAAACTATTAATTATAGTCCCTACATTCATGATCAGGAACGGATCAAATCAATCAATGGCGAATCAATTTGAGGAAGCAGACCATAAATTCTCAAATAAAAAGAAACAAATCAAAACACTGAAAACTAATCGTCACCTCACCTCTTGCCTTTATGGCCCACAATAAATGGCATGGCTATGCGACTGTCAACCGTGTTCACAATGCAAATTTCATTTTTTTTAAATATATTTAATTTCCTATAGCTTTGATGTTACTAAAGTGAAACGGGTGTATTCTATATGCAATAAAAAGATAAAAGATACATCTACACAATGACACAATTATAAATTCAAACTATAAAATGCTCAAGCCTACCTAAATTCTAGCCTTTTACGTCCGACAACAAACAGCTCGGAGATACGACAATGCAAGTTTATATATATATATATATATATATATATATATATATATATTCCAATAACCCAGGTTAAAGTGACAGGTACAATCCCACAATGCACACTGAAGTTGTCCAAAAAAGGCTTTCGCCATGGCTTTGGATTCTTTTTGTTGGCCACATATGCCTGTGCATATCTGGTAAAGTGGTCCGTGACAACTAACACATTGTGTTTCCCTCCTTGGCTACTTCAAAATTCTTTTGGATTCTGTGGCGATGTCTTTATCTTTTCAACTTTAGCCAGGTCTGGTTCCATGCTTCTTTATGAGGGCATATGACGTATAAACTTAATCTCGTCCTTGAAAAGACTTTAAATTTACCTGGAGCAAGCTTGAATCCAGAGTCTTTGAGTCTCTTAAATACCTTCTTCAACCTGTCAAGATACTCTTCAAAGGTTTCAGCAAATATGATGATACCATCCATGTAGATAAGGCATACCTTGAGATACATATCTTCAAAACAGTCAACAGGTGTTGATACGCGGTAGGACTGTTGCCCAAGCCAAGGGGCGTCCGGTTGAATTCATAGAATCCAAGGGGTCCTACAGAAAAAGCTGTTCTCTCTTTAAGATGTTCTTCTAATTTGACATGATGATACCCACTCTTCATATCCACCATAGAGTTGAATTTGGATCCTCAAAGTGTGTCAAATGGCAGAGGGTATGAAACTTTAACTGTGCTATAATTAAACTCTTTAAAATCAATGCACATCCTGAAAGATCCATTCGTCTTGCGTAGTAACACCACATTAGAAGACCAAGATGATCGTGATCGATGAATGATTCCACTTGCTAATAGATGAGCTCTTACTTCACTATGCATGGATAATGGAATTCACGTTGATTGAAAGGCTCTTCATCAATGTTTCACTGCATTAATGTGGTCAAGGTCACTATGAGAGAATATGTCCAAGTAGTCAGAGTCAGCTCCTCTTAATTGTGAGTGGCTGAGATACTTCCAGTTAAAAAACGAAGTCCTGCCCTGAGGACTGTCTTCCAATTTAGGTTGTTCTTCAACAAATACAGGCTAGATCTCACATAAAAGAGCACGGGGTTGAATGAGTACTGTCTTTGTGGTAATGCTAGAAATGTTGCCTGGGTGAGATGTCAAGGTCGTCGGGGATAGCTGAACGGCTAGTACTTTGCAACATAACACTTGTATTGCAA